AACTCGAACCCAACCTATAATTCGTTTGCTTCTTAGGTACCTTTCTTGGGAGCGCGTCACATATTCTTCTAAAATGTTATTCTAGAGAATAATATTCTATGAAATAAAAATTCTAACAAATTCACTTTACGATCTTTTCTTGCGCCTCTCGGAAAGACAATAAATATTAAAGGACCCCGCACAAAAAGTTGGATAGATTATACTAAGTATTGGATATTGAATCCATTTTTGATAGTATCTGGAGCGCGATACGATTAGTTGGATAGCGCGACCAATTTTATTAGATCCTTAAAAGTTTTATATTTTAACCAATTCCAATAGCTAGGAGAAACATTCTCTTGGTTGCTTTATCCAATTCTCTAGTGCACATTTACTTTCGAGTTGGTTAGCACATCTATTTTTCACTGGTAGAATATCTATCTTTTATTTAATAATATTAATAATATTGAATATTGACTTATTGAGTATCTGAGAAGTACATATGAAAATTTATTTATTTTTTTATTCTTTGGTGGTTACTTTAATTTAATAATAGTCAATCCTCTCCTGTTATGTTAAGACAAAAAATGGACTATTTTTAAGTAAAATTTTATTTTTGTCAACAAGTACGAGAAACTGTTTGGTTATTTTACATACAAAAATTGATTTATTCCTTCCAAACTAAAATTTTGTTTTGAACATATTTATTACTTATCTATTCTTTCGATATTCTAAAAGATACTTTTTTAAAATAAATACTTTACACAGAAAATGATTATCTGTTTTGGCTCTGTATATATATGCGAATCTTACCGCCCTTTTCTATCCAATTTATCAAATAACATTGAATTGTTCATTTTACATTCTTAAAATAATAATCATTCAATTTGGTAAAAAAGATGGGCGAAAAATTGCAAATCTTTTTCCAACAGTTTTTAGCTGTTTATATATAAAATAGTGATTTATAAATTGAATGATATAAGAGTGATATAATGATTGTATCATTAAAAAAATATGTACCTATCTCAAGAATTTCCCATCGTAGAACCGCAATTTTATATTCTACATTTTCGCTTAATTCCCTTGCATGTACTCTACTTTTTGCTCTTGACCCCCCCTTCCCTTTGTCTCACCTTCAACACTAATTTGAACGATGTAGTTTGCGCTTATTATCACTAAATTAGCTATTATATCATTATTTTAACGAGTCAATGTATGTCAGGGGGTCGCAATGTACGCGTGAAGCATTGCCATTTCAGACATAACATCAGTTGTACTCAAAACTTGAAGCCTCAACTCTCATGTATTTGCGCTTGTTATAATATATATATATATATATAAATATTTGTGTAATTAATAACAATTTTCATACAATGAATGTATCATTTTTACCCAGCAGGATTGCATTTATAATTTTTGAAACAAATTTTGAAGAAAATTATTTCACATAAACAATTCTAGATTCTTATTTTAATATGATATTATGGCTCTCCAAATTCGTTACCAATTCAGTGTTGGACTTCATTAATGATTTTACTACTGTTCTAATTAACTTTTCATTGTTAAGTTTTGAATTGTAATTAATAGTAGAAAACAATACTTTTTAAATAAATATCATGTTTGTTCAGTCATTCTTCTTTCTAAAAATTAAATAGGGGCTCAATCCATTATATTTCGCCTAAAGTCGTTGCGGACTATATTTTTAAAACTTTCATAATTTATATAGAATTTATGTTTAATATCTGTAGAATGCATTTTTGATAATTATTTTCAACAGTTTTTTGTATTTAACTTGGAATTTTACTTTCTGAGTTGAGCCGCACGGAAAAAAGTTAGTTTGACAGCTGCGAAAATTTAATAAAAGAGCATGGAAATAATTTAGATAATACACGGAAAAAAATAATTCAATGAATTATATAGAACGTTCTGGAATAGCGGATAAAACCGTTCACGAAACAAAGTCCTGCAAAATGTGGCGAATAATACAAAATAAACTTCAGAAATGTTAAGTATTTATTCTACAACTATAGCGGCTGTATCCGCTAGTCCGTAATGGTTCTGCAAATTTCACTGAATTATTTTTTTCCGTGTACAAATTTTTGACTGATATTAAGTACTTTCAATGTGCTTTAGTATTATGTGCTGACCTTTTAATATTATACTATACTATACAGTATTAATATGTACTATAGTTGTGATATACATATGGTGCCTCGTATAGTGCACTAACTTTTTATTGCATATTTTACACTCTGAAAAAATGTTTTTTGAAACAACAAAATTTTGGTTGAATGAATCAAATAAATGCAGCTCTATACACTTAACTCAATGTTTTTTTGATTCAACCAAAGTTTAAATATTTTATATAAATATTTTTGTTTAAATAAACCAAGTACGCTATTAATTGTATTCAACTTTTTGGTCTCTTTACCCAAATATTTTGTCCCATACAAGAAAACAATTTACTTATATCAAATAAAATCTTTTAGTGTTTGAACTTGTTATGGTACTTTATTATGCATGTTATAGTACTTTATTATATGCATAATAAAGTACAATAACAAGTTAAAACACTAAAAGATTTTAAGAATAACACGCAATATAAATTTTATTAAATAAAATATACGTTGTTCACCATCATACAGTTTCACTGAAAACAATAAAAAATTAAATACTTGAAAAACTGATAAATTCTTCTTACTGATGGTCTTTTAATAGTAATTCTTACAATGCACATGATATATTCACGATAGCAACACTAAGAATTTTGTTTTTTTATAATTTCTTAAATTAAATTTAAATTTTATTTTTAAATTTTTATTTTTTTATAATTTTTTTTTTTATTTATTTTTGAAATGTAGCAAATTTTTATTTGATTCAACTAAACTTTTTTATCGTACAAATAAAATATGTTAATTTAACAGTTTGGTTCAGTGAAATAAACTTTTTCCCTGAATGTAAGAGAAAAGTGCAGAATATTGAAAAACCAGGATTCCCAATCAGCCAAAAAACTTGCAATGTAGACTTGTAGCAAATTTACATTGCAAGCCTCAAACAAGTGAACTTATTGTTGCAATTTTTCTGTCTGCATATATTGGGTTTTGGGGGCTATTTTGTGCATTGAAAATAAGGAACAAATATTTTTCAAAAATATGTTTCGCGCAGTAAGTGAAGAAGATTCTAGTACAAATTTAATTTGACTTAAATTTATTTATTTTTAAATTAATTTATAATTAACATATTTAATTTAATTTAATGTATTTAAAAAGTTAAGAAAAAGTTAAATAAGTATATTTTTTTGGTGTTAGTAATGTTCTGTATTATTTTTATTTGAAAAATAAATGTCAACACAATTTTTTAAATATTGGAAAAGGGTTAATTGTTAGGTTCTTATACATTTGAATAACCTAATAATTAACCCAATAACTTTGGGAATCAGAACCTCGAGAAATTGGTACCTAACCATCTGCAAATAGTGATTTTCTTAAATAGACTTTTAAATATAATTTTTGCTTAACACTACAATTTATGTTATAAAAATAATTATCAAACGTTATTAAATTCTTTGTTAAAATATACGAAAGGCAAATTTCCAAGTGAATTAGTAACTGGAGTCTTTTAATAACCTAAATTCTATAAAATTCTATAAAAAATATTTATTTATTTTTATTGGAATATTTAATTTTAAATTAAATACAAAATCCAAAAATAAAATAATTAAACATATTAGAATGTTTAAAATTTTTAATAACTTCTTTGGGGAATTTTTATCATCCTTTAGATATTTAAACATTGAATCTCCTTGAAAATTATATCTAAGTCCTTTACTATTTTCACCAAAAGATTTGTAATATGGGGAGACACTACCTTCATTTTGACTCTTTAAAATTAAATCACTAAACGAGGTAATATTTTATTTTAATTTTTGAAGAGGCGTTAAAAAATATTCAAAACGGTAATAGAAAATCGATTTTTAATATTCAAATCTTTAAATTACGTTGAATTTTCGAAAGCTCTGAACCTTTCATTTTTTACTTATACGTAATTTGATGCGCTGATTCCAAAAAACATTGTTAAAATTGACGTTTAGCTCATTTTCATGGTAAAAACCACAAAAATCATAGCCATGATTTTTATGGTTTTTACAATAAAAATGAGCTAAGCATCAATTTGAACAGCTTTTTTAAAATCAGTATAATCAATATAATTATAATTACTCTTACTTTAATAGGTACACCTATTTTAATTAGAATAGTTTAAAAATAATGAAATCCAAACAAAAGTGCGTTTGTAATCATTTCAGATACAACAGTTGGATTTGAAAAAAAATGTGTACCTAATATTCATGGTTAAACTTGATAGCAGTAGATAAATGATCACTGAAACACACTGTATTTTCTTTTGCAACATCAACATCTCGTCATACGTAATTAAATAACAATTCCAAACGTATAGAAAACATAACTTGAAAGTTCTCCAGTTGACATATATTATCATTGCTCACAAATAAAATACTGCGTGATATAAATTATTTTTATAATTATAAAAAAGCTGCAAAATGGTCATTATCATAATAGTCCTCTGACAGGAGGACTGATTGAACAACATAACCTGAAAATATAAATTTGTTGTTCAAAAAAAGTATAATAGTACAGTTTCGGACATTATTAGAACTAATCTAATGTGAATTGTTGCAGTAAGCACTACTTAATTTAAAGACGGGATTCATCCTTTGAGCGCAAGGCGTGGTCTCTGATCCAGCCACGCACGCGACGGTCCTAAAAAAGTTAGTTTGAGTTATGAGTTTGAGGTTACTGCGATTGTGCGACGCCGCAGTCGCGATCATCGTGCGAGCGGTGACAATAAGTCATGCATCATTCCACAGGAATGACAATTAAGTCAACGCCCAACGAACCCCCGAGTACTGTGACTTTGCCATAAAGTCAACAGAGCAACGTGCTCGTCATATTAAAAATAACACATACAAGTATAAATCGAAGAAAAAAACGAAAAAAACTCACCTCAGTGGCCAACTTTCCCTTTGACGCCATCTTGACAACAAGGTTGACCGCCGAGACACCTGTGTTCGCCGGTTTTCAAAACACCTCCCACTCACTATATGAATTTTTTTCTTTTTTCTCACTTAACAGGATCTTATAAAATTTTATATAAAACTTGTTCTTCCAGGATAGTGATGTCACATATATAACCTGTCAAAATTACTTGTCGATCAACGATACATTCGATGACACAAGGGTGAGGTTACACTACACAAAGGAAAGCACTATATGAAACTATATGAACATTGTCGATGTAGAAGCCGATCTTAGTTGTTTACTGGCAACTGTGCAACTGGCCCGACCCGGCGCGGCTCGACTGGCACAGCGGCTCCCGATGACGTCATTCAATAGGTGAATATTACTACATTGCTTTTCACGCATACCACTCATTATCCCTCTATTTATATGTTTATATTTCTATCTATTTACCACCTATACCTATCTTTTGTGCACTACAGCTGCTTTTCTAATAACTACAATATTACATATAACATTCTTCTTTAAATTCACTTTCTTCTTTTGCAGACTTCGCAGTGCCCCTAAAAAGTATTTAGGGGAAATAGGGGACTGAGAATTAAAAAATAGGGGACTATAAAAATGTTTTAAATAAAGAAAAAAAAATAATTTATTTATAAGAACACAAAGTTTAGTACAATTTTTAAATACTGCTTTAAGAAATTGTACAGTACAATAAGGAGTACAACGGTAAATATTAATTTACATTTAACAAATCTTTAAGGTTCAAATATAAATTCAAAATATTTAATTTTACAAAAATTTATTTTCTTAATTTTAATTTTCATAAAATCTTCTTTTCAGTTTAATTATTAAACTAAGATTCTTTTTAAACACATGCATTAAATAAACAAAAAACAAGTTTTTAATCCATTTACATCAATCATAATAAATAAATTTCACCAATTATTACATTTTTAAAATAATTTAGTCTTTTAGAAATACAGTACCGGCCAAAATTGTGAGTCCACCTGTAATTTTTTTCTTTGAATAAGCAGGACGTTAAAGTTAGACAAAAAAATTTGAAAAAATTTGAAATAATCTTATTAAAAAAAATTTTTAATTCAAACATATTTTTTTTATTAAATTTTCTTGAAAAATTTCCACTATATCATGTTTTATATATTTTCTAGAATAGTTTTTAGTATAAAAAAATTATTTCAAATTTTTTGAATTTCTTTGTCTAACTTTGACGTCCTGCTTATTCTAAGAAAAAAATTACAGGTTAATGCCTATAAGTAATTCTTATTCTGTACAAAATGACCTTTAAAATAAGTTTAAGATCATTAAAAAGCGTTTATTATTTTAGAAGTTATTTAAATTTTTGTAAAACATTGAAAATGACGATTTTTTAAAAAAATCTAAATAAAATACTGGCCAAATGACTTCTGTAAAGTCTTATTCTTTTCAAAATTTTATCATCTTTCAAAACGTATACCGAAAAAAATTTTAGTTTTCATTTTGATGTTGAAAAATTTGTTTCATTCCCTTGAAAATGGGTGGACTCACAATTTTGGCCGGTACAGTAATGTATGTCATAAGAAGTTTGTGCAGATTATAAGAATTTAAAATACACACAAATACAACCAACTTCTAAACACAATTGAGACTTGACTTCACCAAAATACTAACCTTACAAATTTTATAAATTTCATGCAAAATCTCATCGATCATAAATTTAAAGATATGAAACTTTCAAAACGAAAGTTTCCAATTGAAACTTTTTCAACGGCATATTGTGAAATTTAGTGTGAATTCATCATTAAAAGATAAAAGAGAAAAATAGGGTAGGTATGTTTAGGGGCGAAAATTAGAAAAAGGGGACTTTTAGGGAAATTTTACTATTTCTTATGTAGTTATAAATTTTGAATTTTGTTAACTGAAAAAATCAGTTTAATTTCAAAAACAACTGCAAAATCAAATCTCCTGGGAATTTTTTTGACTGCGTTCATGAATGAGTACTAAAATAAGAAATACAGCCAAAGATTGTTGTATTTTTCATTATTATTCAAGTAAAATTCCTGTCATTATGTTCTCATCTCACAGTTAAATTCAACCGTTTTTTAAATTTTACACTATATAGGCAATATTGCTTCAAGGCCGCGAATGCAGTTCCATGTGAACAGAAAGCATATATACAGTAAGAAAACCTACCACGTCAGTCATATCCCATGAGTGGGAGTGAGACAGACTTATGCGATTCCCATACTTTCCTATGACTGACTGATAGCTTTTCTTACTGTATATATAAAAGAAAACAGAAAATCTATCTCTCCTAAACTTTTTTTTTCTCTTCCTATGCAATAAAAGCTTTTTTCGCAAGAAAAAACTACCTTGTTTAAATGAGGCACATTTTATTGCATAATTGAAGAATTAAACAAATTCTTGATCGAATAAAAACATAAAACAAAATTTCAATTTTCATTCCATCATTTTCTAGTTGAATTTTGAAAGATGGACAGAAACCAGGGCGCATAAATAGACTCCAGAACTTAAAAAAAATTTAGTCGATTTTTAAATTTGTAAATTTTCGTTTTACTTTAAATTAATTTGACTTTTTACTTAACACAAATCTACTTTCTGTTTAAAATGATATTAAGAATATTGTCAAATGACAACTCGTAAGCGTAACAATAATTATTCAGATAAGGTAAATGTCCCAATTTGTAAACTACTAAAATTTCCTCTATACTTAATAGTAAAAAAATTCCTTTTATCTTTTTTTTATGAAAATCTTTTTCTTATGATAGATATTATATCAATTTTTAATGCAAATATGACTTTAAATAAAGTTTTATTGTCAAAGTACAGTAAATCATTGTGTTTTTATGAAAAAAGGTGAAAGTACCAATTTGTAAACGCTTTTGTTCTAATAGACACCATATGGGGTGAGACGTGTAACAATTAGTGCACTTTCAAATATTTTAGTCAAATTATTAATTTATTGTAATAATTTTAAATTATTAATTTTTAATCGTGAAATTTTTAACAATTGGGTAATAAAATATGATGTTTTTACTTACGACACTATATTTAATCAAGGTGTCTAACGGTCAGGGAAGTCATGGAAAAGTAAGGGAATGTTTTTCTTAATCCTTATTAGACACCCTGTTAATTAATTTCCACTTAAATTTGCATATAAGCTCAACTGTTTACGAATTGGGAAATTTACCTTCAAGAATTATTTCTGAATTTATTCAAGTATTGTGGATATGAGACAAAATATGAAGTGCCACGGAACCATTGGTAGGTAAGGGCTCCAAAAAAGGGGTTACGGCTTTTAGTGGTTCGGAGCTGGCAGTAGATCGCCAGCTTATTAAGCATTATTATCATTTATTTATTTTACATATTTTTTTTTAATTTTTCTATTATACCAACCCCATATAACCTTGGAGTTCAGAATCCAAGGTATCAATATGCAGATTTCCTATAAATCCCTATGAAAAAATAGCTTTTGAAGAAGAACTATATAGTAAATTTCAGATCTTAATGAATTTTCAACGAAGAATTACTGATCTGGTTTAAGAATCGATAACTTTTACAGGGTGGCCGCTGGACCGGGAAATGAAAGGGAATTATTTTTGGATCGAGAAAAACCGGGAAATGACAGTAAATTTTGACCTTAACAGGGATTTTAGAAATTTTTTTTTAAAGCACTTATTATTTTGTGAGAAAAAATAAAAATATTTATTTTAAGACTTATTAATTAGGTATATTTCATTAAAAAAGATTAAATGATCTTCTATAAAATCGTCTTATTTTGTCAGAGAATTTTATCAAAAGTACTGGAAATATATTCAATTTCTAGAATTTATAAGAAAATTATGAATTTTGTTGTCCAAGACTTTGTTGTCCAGACTTAAAAAAAGAAAATATTAAATTTAATGTTAAATTCTTTCTATTTTTAACAATAATTAAACAAAATATAATTTTAAATAAATGCGTCGAAAAAATTTAAAAGAGAAGAAATTTCACATCCTATAAAATAGTGAAAAATTAATTAATTTATAAATTTTTTTTGCAATAATATTATCACAAAACAAATTTGAACTAATTAGAACAAAAGTAATACGAAATTTATAAAAATTAATTTTTAAATAATAAATAAAGTAAAATAAAAATAAATAAAATTTCCTTTCTTAGAAAATAAATGTTTAAAAAACCGTATTTTCCATTTCATTAATATCAATTCACTTTTCTACAATAATTTATAGGTAACTATTTCTATATTTTAGAATTTTAAATTAATATTACTAATATCAATATAGATTAAATTTTAAAAACTTTCAAATTATAGATTTAAAAAAGTTGAATTGTAAAAGATTTTAATTAAAAATTCTGAATAAGTTAGTTTTTTGAAACATTTTTTTCAAATTAGTTATATTTTTAACTATATGATATTTAATTGAAAAACGTTCGAATTATTCAAAATTTAATGAAATTGTCTTGTAAACAAGTGAATTTCAGAAATATTTTAGTTAAAATTTTTAGAAAATAATTGAATTGAAATTTTGAAAATAATCTTTATAAATAAGATCAGACTTTTGTCTGTACATTGCATAGAATTTGAAAATTCATGTTTAATTTCTCTATTCGAGTAGTAAGAATTCCAAAAATGTCAATAAAAAAAATATGTATGTATGTCTGTCTGCAATATTTTGTCCAGGATAAACACAAAGACTACTTGACCGATTAAAAGGAAACTTTACAGACTTTTAGGTATTAGTCTAACCTTATATCTTAGCCATATCCGATTGAAAAATATTAAACCGAACGAAAGTTATAACTTTTTTCACAAAATTAAAAAAATTAAAAAAATGCAAATTTTTTAATTTTTGGCAAATTTGGCTCAATTGGTGGCTCAATTGATGTAACACTTTTTGTAGCTACTTTTTAATATAAATACAACTAATTTTCACTATAAAAATGAAATATAAATAATAAATCCGAATTTTTAAGCCATATAATCATATTTTATTGATTTCCGACAAAATTTTTAATTAATTTTTTTTTTCAATATTGTTTAATTTTTTATAAAGTTGATATTGATATCGGTTGATATTTTAAAATTTTAAATTATATTCATTACATTTATTTTATTAACAAGTTTAGAGTCATGAATTTGATGTCTATTACAAATTTTCTAAAATCAATGAACGTGAGTTTGCAAACAATTTCTATATTGATATTTTCAGGTTTTAAGTTTGAAAATTTCATAGTATGTATTCTTATATTTAACGTAGAAAATAAAAAATATGTTCAATATAAAGGGTTACAGTAAAAGTATCAAAAAAACTGAAATTTGACTTCAGCGGGCACTGGGACGTAGAAAGTCCTTAAGACGCCATTAGAGAAAATTGGGATTTATGAATCAACATTTTCTTATTTTTGAATTCTAGAAACATTTTAGAACTGACTTTTAAAATAAATAACAAATTCCTATCAATATAATAATATCAATATAATTATCATATGAACACCTAACTCTAAAACAAAGAGTTTAAATGACATATATAATAGATGTCACTAATTACATTTATTTTATTTTTGCGAAGTTTCTTTTAAATGATAATTAATTTTCTTTTTTTCAGATAATTTTGGTGCCGATAAATTTTCGCAAATGAATCATCAATGGAAAAATTTTTACTTTCTTTTAGGCAAATGCACGATAAAAATTCTTGGATCTGTTCCCAATTGGTGGATATGATATTATATAATATCATATATATAACTATAGTTAATACTGATTAATACTTTAAAAAATATTAGAAAAGTAACACATTGAATATTCTTAAACTAAGTTCTCAAACTAAAATGCGTTTGATATAATTTCTTAAGTTAAGAAGGAAGTTTTAGTCAGTCGTACTTCTGCATAATTATCTGCTGAGCTTGGGAAAAATGAAACTAGAAACTTCATCTTGATAGCGTTGGAAAGTTTATTAAATTCGGGAAAGAATGTTATCTAGTTAAAAGACATTCCTTAAGTAGATTTTAAAATATGTTACAAAGTTAAAAAAAGAAGTAATTTTTTTAGAATTGCATACTTTGGCTTTAACGCTTGGTAGATTCAAGAGAAATTAAACAAAATAATGGCCCTTTTACATAATCACTGCTTAGAATCTTAGCTTTCTATTAATCCTAAGATCAGAGCACAATTTTTAGTATTATTTTAGAGCTGTGCAAAATTCGAACCGAACCGAGTTTAGTTCGGTTTTGGGGCGCCGAAATGTCGAATGTCGAATATTCGACATCCGAACTGGGCTAGTTCGAATGTCGAATATTCGACATTCGAACTAAGCTAACTCGAATGTCGAATTTTCGACATTCGAACTAGGCGAAAAAATTCGAACAGTTCGGTTCGAATTATTTTGCACAGCTCTATATTATTTTTCTCTTTTGTTAACTTAATGTTTCAACCCTGACGCATGGACACAGGAGCCTGAGAGATATCAAATTCTAGCAATCGACAGCATATTTTTTCTCCGAGAACGCTCGCACTATTTTTTTTAGCTTTTTGAAACTAAGATTCTAAAGAATGATTATGTAGAACGACAATTTTGAAATATCTTCAGATTTGTATGAATTTAGTATAATGCTTTTCAAAGTTTTATAGTCGCTAAATTAATTAAGGTATTTGTCGCGCAACTGGTCACTCTCACAAGTCCCAGTAAAAAAAAACTAATTCAAATGAATTGAAACGAATTAAAATTTTTGGTAGGCTCCAATTCGTATTTGTCACAAAGCGGGATTCACTCAAGCTCTTTGTATATTCAATTGAATTTAATTCAATATGTACCAATTTGTCCAAACGAATTCGCATTCGAAAGAAATGGCCAAGGAATGCATTGAATTCGTGCTAACGAATTGAAAAAAATTAAAGGCTCAAAACTTGTCCAGTGAATTGGTACGGATAGAAGGTTCGGAAGTTCAATACAGTTTCACGAATTCAGGAAAATTGCATCATGGCTCCAATTCGTATTTGTCACAAAGCGGGATTCACGAAAGCTCTTTGTGAATTCTTTTTAATTCATTTCAATTAGTTTTCGTTTACTGGGGTTTGTACCCAATGACTAAACGGTCATGAATGCGAGTTTCCAAAAAACTTTTGCGCACGTGCAGTTTGACATACTGAAGTATGATATATATATGGCATTTTATGTGAAATGTCCTAAGTTGAAATTCCAACTTCTTGAAAAAAATTGAAACTCAGGGAATTTGTTGCTCTATCAAGTAGAAATGTGCCCCAAAAAATATTTTTGATTTTTTCGAAAATTTGGAGGGGGTAGAGGGGGGTCAATTTGACCAATTTTGCTAACACCGGCTACTTTGTGAATTTTTTCTGAACATACTTCACGGTGCGTCTAGTCAAAATTAAATGAAAAATGATATTACCTCAAATTTTTTTGTTGATTCTGTATCCTAGCCCTATATAGACATATCTTATGAAGAGACGAAAATTGTAAGTTTAGCGCTTTTTTTTAACGACGTCAATTACATTTTTTGATAATTTCTACATTTTTCAACATATTTTATATCATTTTAAACATACATATATAATTACGTAAGAACTTAAAAGTAAATATAGATCCAACAGAGTGATGTATTTCACATTTAGTATATGCTTTGTTATTGTTTAGTATCGGTTAGCCCCGCTAACATTGATTTGACAACAACGAAACAATAATTTAATATAACATGTACATAATTACACTCTTGAAAAAGCGTGGTTATAAGTGAAGAGTATTGTAAACTAGAGTAGCCCTTAAAGTTTAAAACCGCTGCCAAGTTGTATATTTTTTTATAATTTTGGTGCTCATTTCATGAACACTTTGCTTTCTCATAAAGGTAATAATAACAGAAATATATGAATAACTTTTCATAAATATGGTAAAAGTGATTGAATTAAAATTCAATTACTTTTACCATATTTATGAAAAGTTATTCAATAAATGTATTTTTAAATACCCTACAAGATAGTTATAATAGTTTAATAGTTAAACAAAAGTTTTCAAACAAAAATTTTCAAACAAAAAAGTTGAGAAAATGTCATTTTCCACAATTTTTGGTTTTTAAAAAACCAATAATTTCGAAATTTATTATCGAATTAGGTTCAAAAATAGGTCAATCGAAGCGTTTTCTGAAGCTCTACAAGTCGGTAACGATAATTTTAAGATTACTTCTACATTTTTCAACAAAATTTTCAAAAAAGTGTTATTTTCCAAAAATTTTTATTTTTAAAAGTTTAATATCTTCGGCCAATATGGACGAAAAATGTTCAATTAGGGCTCAAAAGATGCGTCTAAAACAACTCTACAAAATTATGGAAAAACATTTATAGTAGGTGTCCTAACATTTTTTTAAAGTTATGGGAACAAAATGTTTTTTTGGAAAATTAAAAATCCAAAAAAAATTTAGTTAAACTTTATTAATCTATCACAAAGTACTCTTACTTTATGTCCGCAGGTGAGATTTACAATTTAAAAAAAATTCAACCCAAAAGCTCTTTATGATTTCGAGATATTTATGAAAATGTGATGTTTACACACACACACATACGGAATGACATTTTTTAAAAATGTCATTTTTGAACTCCTGAGGTCGAATAACATAAAGATATGTCAAAAAATCGAACTCGAAAAATTTTGGTATTACAATACTTCCTCTATGAGGAAATAAAATGAAATAAAATATGTTGAAAAATGGAAAAATTATCAAAAAATGTAATTGACGTCGTTAAAAAAAAGCGCTAAACTTACAATTTTCGTCTCTTCATAAGATATGTGTCTATATAGGGCTAGGATACAGAATCAACAAAAAAATTTGAGGTAATATCATTTTTCAATTAATTTTGACTAGACGCACCGTGACTTGTAATGGGAAAAATTTTTTAGAATATGTTTCTGAAAGGTTTTTTCGTCCTCTTTCCAATGGTGTATTTTATTTTTTAATATTTTAAAAATTTACCCTAATTTTTGATAATTAATATAATAATATTTAATTTTCAATTTCCCAAAAATTTACATGCCGATAAGAAAAAACCTCAGCTTTCGTTTGCAATAATTTATTTTAAAAATAAACAGACCGATTTTTGGGAAATTGAAAATTAAATATTAATTATCAAAAATTAGGGTAAATTTTTAAAATATTAAAAAATAAAATACACCATTGGAAAGAGGACGAAAAAACCTTTCAGAAACATATTCTAAAAAATTTTTCCCATTACAAGTATGTTCGGAAAAAATTCACAAAGTAGCCGGTGTTAGCAAAATTGGTCAAATTGACCCCCCTCTACCCCCTCCAAATTTTCGAAAAAATCAAAAATATTTACTTTTTTTCATAAATAAGTTTAGAAGATGTTTAAGGGTCAAAATCAAAAAATCGACAACATGTGTCTAACTTTTTAAAAGAAAATAAAATCTTTGAAATGTTAAAAAAATTGTCTGTTTTGTTAGTTATGTTCTAAAATATGTCAAAAATCATAAAATGCAAAATCAAGAAATACTTATTAGCTTAATAATATTTTTTTAGTAATCACATATTCAACCTATTTCAATATGATGAAATTACAAATAAAAGTTTATAGTAATAATTAATTTTTTATTTTTAGTTACTTAATTATTTAATTACTGAATTTACCTGTTAAATAATAATAACATTTTATTTAGCGTGTTAATCGTTTTAATATGAATTTCTAAAATATTTTTTTATAACTAACCATATAGATTTTAGAAATTTTCTTTCTGTCTATGTAACGTCTGACTTCACTCCTAAAAAAAGATATGTCGGACGGGACACGATGACAAAAAATAATAAACATGAATTTTTATTTTTGTTATTATTCGAAAACTTGAATTTAGTTTTAATTGTACATTTACACAAATAATATAGATATACTAAAAAATTTTTGTATGTACATTAATTACCATTTAAAAATGTTCGGCTTTAAAAAAAAACTTGTGGACACGATGACAAAAAAAAGATGTACTCTTTTCTTAATATTCTCAAAATATCATTTGACTGATTTTTAAATTGATTTTGACATTTCTGTATGCTCACGTATTATCAAATTTATATCGTACTTGATTTATTTCATATAGTTTTTCAACTTTTAATTGCGATACTACTTTGAAAACCGGTAAATATGTGTGTGAGGACACGATGACATTAACAAATTTCAAATCTGGGGATACGTTAAAAATTCTTTAAATTTCGCATTTAGTGTTATAAAAATTCTCACCACTTTACTATATTACACTTTATACATTGGAGAACACGTACACGAAGAGAAATTTTATTTTATATAATAAAAAATTGAATTAAAAATTTTCTTATATCGCAAAATGTATATAGGGACACGGGACACGATGACATTTTGGATATATATTTTTACTTTTTTGTACCTGTTGTATCAATAAAAAATTAAATTAAATGATCAGGTATTGTAGATAAAATTATACTCTGCAAAATGTTTGTATTTAAAATCATGAATTCTTAACAACCACAAGATTTCAACGATTTTTTGATTTTAACCCTTAAAGATAAAAATATAAGTTGCGCAAAATTAATTTTCAGAAATAAGATATCTAGGAACATTTTATTATAATGTGTTCTAGAGGTTAAGTATAATTAATTACACTCGAATCTTGATATACGAGAAGTGAGGGATCCGAAAATCTCGATATAACGACTGCGTGAGGGAGCCCCACTCTTAAACAATTTATTTGTGTGAAGTTAAGTAACTGTAATTAATGTCATGTGCAAAAAAAACGATGTTCAAATGTTTTCAAATAGTTGGGATAAAAGAGGAGAAATATTTCTCGTTGTAACGAGAGTTGACAGTTCGTTGTATCAAGCGCTCGTTATATCGAGACTCGTTATATCAAGATTCGAGTGTATAACTTTTAAATTAATTATTTTGAAAAAAAACTCGGTAGGAATATTTTTTTTTAAATAATAAATTGTTTTGTTTTAATTTATTGCACTTTTTTCTTGTATATTTTATATTTATTAAATTAATAATTTAATTTGAGGGTTAAATATTTCAAAACAATGATTAAAAAATAAAAAACAAAAGAAAACGCCTATCAAATATAAAAAAAAGGCTTCGGAGATGAATTGATAATATAATGAAAAAATTCTCAATTCTTCTAATTTTAAAAATATTACAATTTTTTAAACAATATTTTTAGTTTTAATCATCAAATATTTTCACATAGATTACATATTATGTTTAAACCGTTAAAAAAATACGATGTTATTATATAGATAACGAGGCTTCGGAGATGAATAATTGAATTTTTACTCTCATTGATAATACTATTTTAATTAATAATTTCAATAACTTTTTATATCACATTTTAAACAAATATAAGTAAAAAATAAACGTTATATTCTGAACTTTAATTTGATATATATCATAAATATGTTGAAATTATTTAATTACGTTAAAATATAATTATAAAATATACATTCTGTTTAACCAAAATTCGATGACAAAATTAAATATGTTTTTTAAATAGGAAGAACTTCTAATATAAGAATTAGAAGATTATATAAAGATAGATAAATCTTCGTAGATTATAAATAAATTTTGCAAAAAATTTAAACTTGATAAAATATTAATAAAAAATTAATTTAAATAATGAACCTCATGTTGGAGACACGTGAAGTAGTGGTCCCTTTCAGGAGAATCACCCATATGAAGTAACGATCATGGCAACGTCGCAAGTTTGTCATACGGCTGTCTTTAAAATTTCGCGCAAAAAGTAGCAGACGAGCTGTACTATTTAACAAGCGCTGTTGCCACGTTTACGAATTCGCCTCTCATTTACAGCAAATGTTTCAATAATTTTTTAAGTTTCACATTTAATATCTTTTAAACGGTAGGGTAAAAAATTTTCATTTTTTTATAAAAGTGCACTTTAGTTTAATAAATAAAACTTTAGTTTTTTTTAAATCTGACTATTAGTATATGTAGATGCAAAAATTAAAATACTGCAATTAATACAAATGGTTTTCCTACTATACACCGTACGTGTAAAATGTAGAAACTTTGATTTTAATTTTTGAGATTTAGATACGGTCAATTAATGCCAAACAGGTTGTATATAACCTAATCGCACAACTACATTTAGATAAAGAAAGGAAACAATTTAAGTTCTTAAAAATCTACTGTTTTTGGAGATATTTGTGAATTATGAAAGTTGAAATGTAAACCGTAAACTGAAACCCGTATTATAAAAATTTTAAATCCTTTATTTCAAAACCTAAATTTCGTTTTTTCGGCTTTTAACACAGTACACCAATATTAAATTTTGGTACAAAAAAATAAATGAAAAAAAAATATTAAAGTATGGTATGTCTAATATTGTAAGCAATAAGTAGAGGAACCAAATTTGCTAATTACAAATAATTAATCAAAAACAATTTTTTTGAAAGAAATCAGAAAAAATATATTTATTTAAAATTAATTATTCGTGATCAGGCTGTAAAAATACACTAGTATACCAATTTTTAGCGAACTGTTTGCTGCAAAAAATGAATATTAAATTTCAATAAAATAATTATTTTTGTTTTCAAAATTCTAGGGGAGTATAGTCGAGGTTGGACCACTGTCTAGGTAGGCCATTCGCGTTTTTTTTGTCAAGTTCACTAGCGCCACCTACGCGCATGCTTGTCTTAGTAAAACCTAACTTTTTGTTTAATTACATTTTCGGAGAATCGAAAATTGTGTTTTTTGTGACGTCGGTACAAAAAAAGATCAAAAAAAGTTTTGTGCATCATGTGAAAAATCATTAATAAAAGATAAAAAAAAATTGAATCGTCAAGGCAAGCATGCAGAAATTTTGTGGGACTCATTGTTAAAAGAAAAACATATAACATATAATAATATAATTGATCATCTTATTAATATTAATAAAAGGTTAAAATTTAGCGCCGGTGTTTCATTTACAAAGTTAACCTTTTTTAAAGTGATAGAAATAAGAAAAAATAGGATATTTTAAATATTTTAATTAATTAATTTTATTAATTAAATTGAATTACCATTATAAAACATCTACTCTTGTAACAATTGTCAAAAATTATTTTTCATACATTTTAGGTTGATTTTTCACTGATAGTTTGTAAACAATCGACAATCAATATCAATTCTTCATTTTTATTCAGAAAAGTGAGAGGAATGACGATTTCAACATTTTTTAATTTTATTTAATTGGCAAATAATTTTCCTCCAGCTTAGAATGTCCTATCATGTTGATACAGGATAACTTTATGTAAAAAAAAATTGCAATCAATTTATATCTACTATTATTGTTTTTATTATGAGTGAGAGGAATGACGCTGTAGGTTGTGAATCTCTGCTTATGTCTCAATTTTAATTTTTTTAACACAAACTAATGACATTTTTTAAAAAGTAACTTAAGAAATTAATATTAGAGATGTTAATTGAAATATTGATCACAATAATTAATCAATATCACTACCCACAGAAAAAATATTAGATAATATTTTCTGGTGAGAGGAATGACGCGATACTGTATGACAAATTTCACTTTCTATATATTTAAAAAATCTACACGATATATTTTATTCATATTTTAGCGAAATGTTCTTAAATAACATAACTTTTAGAAAAAATTGATAAAGTATCAATTTTCACGTTTCAAATAATTATTTTACGTATTGAAAGAATGAAAAGCACTTAGATGACAGGTTAGAAAATCGATGAGGTTTTTTTTGAAGAATCACCCATGTATATTTTTTATAGTTATAATAAATTTTCAAATTCTGAAGAGGACGACTGTGCCATTGAAACGTAAAGAATAGGTTATTCTTTTTTTATTTATTAACTTATTGGAATGATTCGGAGCGGTCGATTAAATCATCGGCATTACTAAAAGAAGCTTTTTTAAATAATTAAATTAACAAATTTCTTTATAACTTAAAAAATCTAATTATCGAGTTAAAAACAAAAGAAATAAAAAACCTATTTTTCGGTTTTATTCAAATTTAGTATGTTAAAATTGCAATTAGTGCAAAAAACAACTTAATAATAATGAACATAATAAATTATGACTATACATATAATTGTTATTGCTAAAATATAAAATTAGATACTATTTATAATTTAAAGTTATGTGCATCTTTTGAGTTCTGGTAATAACTCTTTGTTTTACTTTATTATGTATACTCAACCAAGGTAAGGTAGAAAACAGGTGCCTGGAATAATCAAAAACTTAGATAAAAAATTTAAATTATTTTTTATGTGTTTAAAGTGTTAGAATATTAATCGACAAAAATACAAAAAAGTTGAAATGCAACGAACATAAATCCGAGTAGTGCTCGATACCTCATATAACCCGGAGTTATATGTCTCGGATAACCGAAGTTCTACTGTATATTATATTTAAATATGTATTGAATACTAATTAGTAGTTAAAAACTGTTTTTCAACTTCTTTGTCCTGTTTGGTAACAGAGATATTATTATAAATATAAAAGCGTAAAGGCTTATTTGCCCAAGTAGGATCACATTTTTCAATTCCTATTCTCTTGCAATGAACTACTTGAAACTTTTCTTGACTTGAATTATCGTTTTCAATCCACAATCCTCTCCAAGAACATAGTGAATATTTACTGTGCACTTTCGTTAACGAGTAAGCCATACAAAGTTTTGCTGGGCCATTGCATAGCTCGTGTATTTTAAATTCTTTTTTAGCCCTTTTTAATGATTTCGTTCGCATGTTACGATTGTCTGACATTTGCTCAAAACCTTCAATAGGTTCTATAGCTCGGATGAGAACTGCACATCCATCACCTAAAGAATCTATTCTTAATACAGTAACGATAGAAAGATCCAACTACTACACGGAAAAATGTAAGGTGCACATGGTATACCTTTCAAAAAATGTATCCAACAATTAACTTCACTTCATATAAAAACAATAGGAAATAATAAGTGTGAAGTGAATTGAATAGTAAAATTTTTAGACAGGGATAAGCAATGCACCAAAAGGTACAGATACTGTCCCAAACATTTTTCCGTAAATAATATAAAATCTTACCTTGGCTAGAAATATTCAAACAATGATACATTCCATAAGTAGAGTAAACATAAATGGTTCCTGGTGGCATATACAAGGGCAAAGTTCTACTCGAAATACGATAATCATAAGTTATAGAAGCTTTATCTACAGCTCCAATATAACACTCAGTTTCAACAATTCGACCCTTCAAAATTGTTCCATTTTCCAATTGACGAACGAAAATTTTTCCTGTAATTATAAAAATATTATCACGTGTATTTCATATATCATAAATTAAAAATTATTAACTTTCACTTAATAAAATTTCCAACACAATTAAAATCTTAGTTTTTAATAAAAAAAAATTGCGTTTTTACCTAAAAGACATATTGCTAATTCTTTACAAGGCTTATTAAAAAAGGAAAATTCAAGTCTAGCTGACATTAAATCTTTCTCCGATTTGGACACAGGAGGATCTTCCAATTGTTTTAATTCCGTTCTCAATATTTCTAGATTTTTCATTTTTTCTTTAGACACATGTTTATTTTTTTTCTGAGTTGAATTTCCATTAGCAACCAATAATTCTTCTCCTAGGCCAAATGAAAAGTTAAATTATATATTAGAATTTTTCTACGGATAATTTTAATTTTTTGCAACCCGTCAAAATATTTTTTCGGGTAACATGTGCACCGAAAGTACCGAAATTACCTTCCGGTAATGTGATCATTAGGTATAATTACATTTTAATTAAAAATGTCTGTCACATCGCCAGTAATAATCACACCACCACCATCACTATAAAAAATCCGTTCTGAATTTTCATATGTGAATGCGTAAAATTTTCCTAAGAATGACGTATGAATATCGCTAGATTAAAAGAATTTTAATTAGTTAGTCCTTTTGTTACCATATTTAATTTAATTTACCAAAAATGTCTAATTTTCACAGGAGCAACGCTGTAAACATAAAGTTAATAATTATATCTTGAATTAACTAAAAAGTTATATATATATACGTATATAAGTGGCATTCCACGTTAAGTGATCCGGGTCCAAATTCACATGGAATATTTGAAAAATTTGTAGTTTCTTCAAAACAAAACGAAAAGATGTTTTCTATTTTGGGTTTTTTAGTTATTTTTATTCACTTTCTAATGGTGCAAACAAATTTAAAGAAAAAAATTTTGACCTTCAAAAATTAAATTAAAAAATAAAATTTCATTTTTTCAACAAATGGACATTTTTTATTTTTTTTTAAAATTTTTTTCATAAAGGTGAGGTTTTCTCCTAAAAAAAATGTATAGGTCAAAACGTGGGACAAGAATTTTTAACTGGTCAAATTGAGTATTTACTTTTGCAGTGCACTGCCCACAGTGGAATTTTTTACAATATACTGTTAAAAAATGTCTATAGCTTACAATTTTTAACCGATTTGAGTGTTCTTTGTTTTAAATTAAAAGGGAATAAATTCTTAAGACATCTCCCGAGGCCGATTTTTGAGATTTTAATTGTTTATATTTTTTTAATCAAAGTTAACAAATTAATACACTTTTTAAAAAAAAGACGTTTATTTTCTTATTCCGTTGGCACATGATCTAAATCAATTCAAATTTATCCAATATGACCACCAGATAATTAATAAAGCATATAATAATTTATTTCAATTGTTATATACAATATACAGCCCAACAACACGCAGGGGCGGTGAACTACAGAACGTCGGGTTAGCGCAATATAATAAATATTCAGAAAAAAGGCAAGAACGTGCTTATTCATTGAGAATAATTTGTTTAATATTTTGTTTTTCAAATATGAAAAGCATTATTGAAATAAAATGATAATATTCTTGATAATTTAAAATCTGACTAAAAAGGTTAATTTTTTTTAAATTTGTTTACACCATTCGAAAGTGTTGAAAAACAGCAAAAATACCCAAAATAGAAAACATCTTCTCGTTTTGTTTTAAAGAAACTACAAATTTTTCAAATATTCCATGTAAGACCAAAAATTTAAACTTTGATCCCCTCCAGTTTTTACATTTGTTTAATTAAATTAATAATATTTGGTATTTTTAATTGTATCTAATAGGACTACTGTTTGTGCAAACTTTTAACACTGATCCCAAACATTTCAAATTTGGACCCGGATCTCACATGACGTGGAATGCCACATAAACGTGTAAGAAAAAAAGTGAAAAAAACAAGTTTTAAGGAAGAATTAGACATCAATCGGAACAAAAATTAATCCAATGTCATAACTTCGTATTTTAAAAGAAAAAAAAACACTTTAATTTTTAAATTGTTTTGGTAAAAGTGTAAAGAATTTAAATTTTAATATTTTAAACAATTTGAAGTTGTATTTGAATAAAAATTACAATTTTCTGCCAATAAGAAACGATTCAGGTCGCATAACCTAAAAGTTAACAAATATTTCTTATTGACAAAGAAGTATAATTTTTATTCAAACGCAAATTTTAATTGTTTAAAATAAAAATATTAACCCTTCCACCAAAACAAATTTAAAATTTAATTTGTCTTTTATGGTTAAATTACGAAATTATAACTTTGGACTAACTTTTCTTTTGACTGTCCGTCAGATATTCAGTCGTGTTCAGAAATGCCTTCCCCGGACGAACGTGTCGCACTCATAATTATGTTTCCATGGGAACATACGAGTGCGACACGTTTGTCCGGGGAAGGCATTTATTTCTTAGCACGACTGTTCAGTATATAGTTTTCATTTGAAATTTCAGCAGACGAGAATTTTATATTCAAAATTCACACTTTGTGGTTCGTGTGAATGAATAAGAATTTTTTACAGTGGTATAAACGAAGTTTGTACTTTCGATACACTAAAAAAAATATTTGCAACTCGGGAGGAAAATGATTTCCAACTAATGTTTTACAATTCTCGTCTTCGCTCACAATAGCCCGCCTTTGACTTGTGCGTTCACTAGGCCTCAAATTGCAAATTACACTAGTGAAAATTGGTGAAAATCGAGCATTTTCCTGCATAGATCCACAATATTATTATTATTATTATTATTATTATTATTATTATTACTCAGAGCTTTAAAGTCCAATTTCTTTTCCACAGGGACATCTGAAGCTAAATCAATTTCTTGACAATTCATTATTGTTTCTTTTTTACCGTTTTCGTATTTCTATATTTCTTTCAAAAAAAATGACATGAAAAATTCGAATAGAACTGAAAAAAGTATTAAAATAACTTTGAGAATAGCGAGAATAGAAAAACCAAAAAACATATAATAGGCAAAAACTTACGTTGTGGTTTAGGGTGCATTTGCATGGTGTTTTCGACGTTCACGCTGACAACAGGGTTGGGAACGTAAACTACTACCTAAGGTAATATACGTAATTGTTTACATATAGATTTAGGCTATTTCAGTTGTGACGTTAGGGTACATTTATACGACGGTCGGTAGAAAAAAAATTTACCGAAAAAGTCAAAATCGCGTTCACACTTCGCTTTTCCGATATAATGGAAAAACTGTTTCTAGCGGGAATTTAAAAATTTATATTTTATTAAAATGAATTAACACTGTTTTAAGTAAGAAAAATCAAGTTTTTATTAGATGAATATTGTTTTTTACTGATTTACAATAAGAAGATGAATTTTCTTCATAAATAACCATGTAAATAAATATTAATTAATTTTTGTTTTGAAAAGTTGTAAGCAACGTCACAGCTGTTGTTGATGCGGAATTTTGTGTGAAATTGTAAGTATAATGATAAATTATTAATTAATATTTATATAATTTAAATAAAAATGTTTAATGGGGATATTTAATATGCATTTTATTATTTGTATATATAAGTATAAGTTATTTTTCGAAAAGTAGTAGATGTAATTGTGTACATAACCTATAAATGTATGACAACCCTTCAACATAAAGCAAGTAAATTTTTTGTAAACATAATATGCAGTTGTAATTTATTGTTTGATAATTTAAATCCCTAATAAATCTTTATTTGGTTTTGTTTAATTTAGATTAGTAACGTTCATAATGAAATTTTTTTCACACAAAATTCCGCATCAACAACAGGTGTGACGTTGCTTACAACTTGTCAAAACAAAAATTAATTAATATTTATTTACATGGTTATTTATCAAGAAAATTCATCTTCCTATTGTAAATCATTAAAGAACAATATTCATCTAATAAAAATAACTATTTTCTTATTGAAACAGTGTTAATTCATTTTAATAAAATATAAATTTTTAAATTCCCGCTAGAAACAGTTTTTCCATTTTATCGGAAAAGCGAAGTGTGAACGCGATTTTGACTTTTTCGGTAAATTTTTTTTCTACCGACCGTCGTATAAATAGAGTCGATTTCAGGTGTTACGTCATGAAGCGTTTACACCTTCTGTAAAAATATCCAGAACGGAAAATTTTTCATTGGAGTAAGAGAGATAGACTGTGTATCTGACTCTCTTACTCCAATGCAAATTTTCCTTTTTGGACAATTTTTACAGAAGGTGTAAACGCTCCAATACTCTAACTCGAAATTTCTCGATGTAGTGAAAAAGCCTGAGGGAGCGTTTACACCTCCGCCTTCGGTAAAAATTCCAGAACGAGAAATTTTTACCGAAGGTGTAAATGCTCCCTAAAGTCCAACGCACAATTGGTTCGCGAACAAGATGCATGAGATAGAAAAGGACACAAATATATCTCTGTCCTTTTCTAACTCATACTGTGCGTTTTGCGTTGCGTCGTAATGGGAGAGAAAAAGACGCAAATATACGTTTGCTATATTTGCACTCATGGCCTAGTTACAAAACGCAACGCAAAACGGTGCCATGGGACTTGACCCTGGGGGTGGAGTCCCATGACAGCGTTTTGCGTTGCGTCGTAATGGAAGAGAAAAAGACGCAAATATACGTTTGCTGTATTCTCTCTTATTACAACGCAACGCAAAACGCTGCCATGGAACTGTGGCCTTAGGCCGCAGTCCCATCGCAGCGTTTTGCGTTTTGTAACTAGGCCATGAGTGCAAATATAGCGAACATATATCTCCATCTCTCTCAAACATATTGCCTAGTTACAAAATGCTGCCATGGGACCAAGGTTGGAAAATGACGCGCCATTTTTGTGTTTTGATGTAGATTACGTAGAATAAGTAATTTACGTAGACAATTGTAGAAAACCCATGTAATTTACATTTTCAAGATGGCGGCCATTAAAAGACTAGAAAAACATAACATAACATCTTGAAAAGTTTGCTTTTCAGGTTATATTACGTGACAAAATACATTAATGTAAATTACGTAGAAAACTCTTGACGTAAATTACCAAGTAATCTACATGTAAACAACTTCGTAGATTACCTTAGGTAGTTTACGTTCCCAACCCTGCATGGGACTCCAACCTAAAGGCCTTTTTTCAATAGAGCTATCCAATGTGACGTGATTCTGGGAACCATGTGGTAATTTAGCGTATTATGAATATATTATCTATATCAATGTTGGTAAAATAAAAATCTACATATGCTGAAATCAACGCAACTCAGAATTTTAGATCCTATTAGAGAGAGAAAATAAACATGTATTTCTATGCTTGTTACACTCACTGATCGACACAAAATAGGTTTGTGAACGTGTAGCATGAGATAGAAAAAGATGCAAACATATATTTGTCCTTTTCTAACTCATGCTTTGCGTTCCCGAAGCAGTTTTTGCTTAGGCCTTAACGCAAGCATATAAACACAGCCTAATGTCAAATTACTCATTTATCAAAGACTATTTTTGAAAATAGTAAAATTAATTTTTTTTATTTTAAAAAGTTTAAAAAGTATTTTTTGATAAATAAAGAATAATTTACCATTACACTTTGTTTAAAAAATAAATTTTGAAAAAGTTATTGATGAAAGACTGATTTCATTCCGTTGACTACAATGCATTGCATGGCATCCAGCTAACCTCCATATTGGATTTCCCCCTCCAAACGTGAACTACCTTATTGGCTGCACTGCTTCAAATGACAGTTACAAGTTGAATGTTGTGTATAGGGTGAGAGAGAGAGAGAGAAGAGAGAAATTGTGGAAAGCATTGCCGGCTGAAGTGATTCTTGTTTAGACCTGTTGTTCTGCTTTATGACATACAGATTATAATTCAAGATTATAGAAATTCGTGTTAAAAAGTATTATATTTTTAAAAACTTTTCATAATGTCTACAGCAATGGCTTCTACAATGTCTGTTCATACAGAAGATGACCTGGAAGCTTATAACGGTCAAGTGAAATTGCTTAAAACTTTGGAGGTAAACAATGATTGCACTTTTTTCTCTTTTTCGTTTATTATTATAATTTGTTATTCATACAACTTCCAAGTATTTCTCTTCAATTAAATATTTTAGAACAGTATCACGTTTGTAATAGTTTTAATGTATTTTCAATTAAAATAGTCTCATTTTTAACTAATAATATTTTTAAGTTTATTAACATTCATAATTTGAACTAATATTCATTTATCCATTGAACAAGACGTGTAGGACACGTGATGTTTTTCTGAAAAAGATTTTATTATGCTAACTAGTAGGGTCATGTGAAGGAATTTTTTTCGCGAAATGTTATAAAGCACGTTAGACTAAACCAATGGAGAAAATATATCGCATACATGGTTTTTCATGCCCATCATACTCTCCCCTTGTAAACATATATAATACTTATTTACACAATACTTAGTCCAAATGTTTAAAAAATTAATTAATTTTTATATGTATAAAGTACCTACTTTTTAATTTAGTAACTCCCAAATTATAATTCATTTACAGTAGGTCTATTTACATAAATTTTAAATATTATAAATTAATTGATTGTATGTAAAGAGTTTACTATTTAGGTAAAGTGTACCACCACATGAGGCACTCTCAGGCCTCGGATCGACTTTAACGAGTAAAAAAAAATTGGTTTAGTCGATTAAAAATAGAAAAAAAGTCGTTTACTTAATTTAGGGTTGTAACAAAAAATTTTATTTTGTATTTATTTGATTCTTCACTGATTTCTAAATTCAATTAATCAAAACTTGTATAATTTTGCTAATTTGAAAGATAAACTTTTGAATACCTCAAAACACATTATTTCAGATTTTAATGAAACTTATGTTAAAGTAAAACTTGAATATTTTATATATTTTTATTCCAGTAAAGTCTATGATGGGGATTTTGGGAGCAAACTTGACATTTATTGAATTTCTTTAGAGGGATAAATATCCATAGTTTCTTTAAAATAACATTAACATTAACAAAAAATGAATTTTTTTTAGGGAAATGGCATTACAGCAGCCGATATTAAGAAATTGGAGGAGTCCGGTTTCCACACTGTGGAATCTGTGGCTTATACGCCAAAAAAGGTCCTTATTCAAATTAAAGGGATCAGTGAAGCTAAGGCTGACAAAATTATCCAAGAAGCTGCGAAATCTGTTGTTATGGGCTTCAAAACAGCAACAGAAATCCATCAGAATCGTGCAAATATAGTTTACATTACGACAGGTTCACAGGAGTTGGACAGACTTCTTGGAGGAGGCATAGAGACTGGATCTATAACAGAAATTTTTGGCGAGTTTCGTACCGGAAAATCACAACTCTGCCATAGTTTAGCTGTTAATTGTCAGCTTCCAATCGACATGGGTGGGGCCGAGGGAAAATGTCTCTATATTGATACCGAAGGAACTTTCAGGCCTGAACGATTAATTGCCACAGCAGAAAGGTATGATTTTCAAGGATTAGATCCTAACTTAAGACCTTTTTACGACTCAATAACTAAATGAACTAATGAAATTGATATATTATTATTGGTCTTTATAGAAGTATGAACAAACTACTTTTATGTGTTTCAAAAATTAAAATAGAAGCTTTAACGATCAAAGTAAAAAAAAACTATTTTTTAATGAATATCTATTAATTAAAAAATGGCTTTTTTTACATCAAACGATTTACTGCGACTAGAAGAAAATCTTTAACGATTAGATTCAATTCTTAGTTATATTTATTGGAGTTAATTTAACTTTTTTTCTACATTTGTTGGGGTTGCTTTTCTTTTTTGAGCTAGTGCAAAAAACTAAGATTATTCTGAACTTCTATCTTAAAATCTAGACAAGTACTTTTGTGATAATGCAAAATTCTTTTAATTAGTCCAGAAATTATTATTTCATTTTATGCTTACAACTTTTTTTTCTTTTTTACCTTTACTATCTAGAGAAGAGGGGTAATTTTTAAATATTAGTTCGCATATGTGCGATTCCAGCACATTATTAAATGTTTTCGGAGCAGCCTGACCAAATTACTTAAAACTTGGTAATATTAAATTTACTCGTATAAAGTTTCAGAAAATCAACTGTTTGAGCCAAAACAATGGTTTATTTATAAGATAAGGGGCCGTTAAAAAAATATGTAACGCTTTCTTCAAATGTTACCCCCCGCCCCCTCAACTCTCTGTGTAACGCAGTGTTGCGTACATTGACATAATTTTTTCTGATGACCGCAACAAACAGATCAATTCTCCCTCCCCCTGAAAGCATTAGGGGAGTTTGTTGCGAGTTGGACACCCCATGATATTTCGAGAATGCATAAAGTTTATCCCAGAATTTAAATTGATAAGATACATTTATATTTGTTTTGAAAAAAATACTTGCAAAGTTATTTAAACAAAATAAGCTTATTTTCAGCTTAGAGGATGAAATTAAATGACTTAAAATTTAAAATTATTCCTATGTATAGTACTCTTTCATATAAAAAATAAAATACAAATACAACACATATACTTACTCTGCTCAATATTATAGAAACATGTTTATTACATATTTGAAGCATCAACTTATTTCCTGAGTTGAATGCAAAAAACAAAACTTATTTATCTTTCATAATTTAAAAGATATGAACAGTTAAACAAATGTATCTTATAAATAAACAATTGTTTTAAATCAAAAAGTTGATTTTCTGGAACTTTATACGAATAAATGTAATACAGTGGTACCTTTATAACTCGAAGCTCGTTAAGTCGAAAACAATAGCATTCCTCTCGCGGCGAACCCCTAAAAACTCGTTATCCCGACTTATTTTGAGTTTGTGACTTGAACAAAATATTGTTCCTCTACTGAGGCATTTCACGTCAGAAATATCACGATTTGCAAAGGGTCTGCCGATTTTCGCAAAACTTCGTGGGATTATAGTTCTATATAAGAGACTTCTTCCCCCCAAATTTAAAAAAAAATTCAAAATTGTTGAAGATACGCCATTTTGAATTTTAACATTAATTTTATAAAATTTTGAATATCTCGGAATATTGTTTATGGATTTTTATTAAATTTACACATTTTTCAGGTAAAAGTATGTACTTTAAAATGCAAATAAAGTTAATAAAAAAAATTAATTTTTAAATAAAAAAATTTAACAAAATTTTTTTAAACAATTTTTTGTTTATTTACTCCTCTCTGAGAAAAATGTTATTAACACATTTGGATTCCTTATGAATTCACCTTTAATTTCATAAAAAAAATTGATGGAGACTCAACTGGTTCCGGAGATATTGAATTTTTTGTAAAAAATAGTCATAGTTACAGCAGCAATGCATGACTGCGGTAACGTACTACGCGACTTGTGCAGTATGGTGCTATGGCGCGGCGACGCTTGTTTTTTTACAAAAAATTCAATATCTCCAGACCCAGTTGAGTCTTTATCAATTTTTTTTATGAAATTAAAGGTGAATTCACAAGGAATCCAAATATGTCAATAACATTTTTCTCAGAGAGGAGTAAATAAACAAAAAATTGTTTAAAAAATTTTTAAAAAATTTTTTATTTAAAAATTAATTTTTTTATTAACTTTATTTGCATTTTAAAGTACATACTTTTAACTGAAAAATGTGTAAATTTCATAAAAATCCATAAACAATATTCCGAGATATTCAAAATTTTATAAAATTAATATTAAAATTCAAAATGGCGTGTCTTGAACAATTTTGAATTTTTTTTGAAAAAATTTGGGGGAAAGAAATCTCTTATATAGAACTATAATCTCACAAAGTTTTGCGAAAATCGGCATACCCTTTGCAAATAGTGATATTTCTGACGTGAAATGCATCTACTAATAATAGTAATAATAGTGCCATTTGTACTCTATATACTCTATAACTCGAAGTTTGAAATGTAGACTCTGTAAATCGAATTTTGTAAAATAATATCACACATTGCATTATATTGTCAAACAATTTTCTGATTCTCTGACACAAAGATAAATAACAGAGTTTTTCTAACCTTATATGTAATTAACTTTAATAAACTGAAGTTGAATTTTATAACTCTATAACTCGAAAAATCGACTTTAAAATTATGCCTTTGTAAGTCGAAATTGTGGCCCTTGAAATTCGAGTTATCGAGGTTCCACTGTATTGACAAGTTTTAAATAACTCGGTGAGGCTGCTCCAAAAACTTTTAATTTCAAAAATCATCGAAATTGGCTTTTAAAAATTGGTAGGTAATTATCATTTTAATTATGTTTACTTTTCGTACAATCCCAGTAATAAGGGGTGAATTAAAGACCAGAATTTTAAACCCCTTTAATACCCTTTAAAGAATTCAATGTTAATTAAAAGGCGGCATGAACTCCACAACAAATGATTCCCTTAAACGGCATTAAAGTGAATTCAGACTCTGCTCTGGTCACGTGGTTACAGAGAATTGAATTGAAATTATCAACTTAACAATAGAAAAGGAATTCATTAAGATTGCGGACAAAAACGGAATTGGTTTAGAATTTAAGGGCATAAAAGTACCAATCCACTTTAATTCACCCCTTATTACTGGGATGATATTCCAAAACAGTATAATTAATATTCATGCGTTATTTTTATCAATATTTTTATTTATGGGTTAATCTAGTAAAAATCGTCTAGAACAAAAAAAAATAAAATCATTTTTTTTGGGTCAAAGGTGTCACTCCACCTTAAAAATATTATATATTAATTACAGCATTGAGCAATTCCATGGTAAGTGATCGTGGAAATTTCCTTCCAGTATGGGATTTTGATGAAGCTGCCCTTTATTGTTTTCTTGAATGCAACTAAAAAAATAGTGAAAATTTTTTGGAAAAATATTTATAAACATAGAAGATATCTACAACTTAAAAATTTTCTAGCATTTGAAAGAAAATTTATTCTATACTTTGTTGATATTAAAGAAAAAAATTTTATTTTCGATTTTTGAAAAAAACTCCACTTTCATTTTGGTTCATTTTTTTGTGGTGGTAGTATATATGGGCAATTCCATGTGAGATTTCAGTCGACCTCTTAAAATCGGCCAAAAATATTATTTTTCTATTCTGTATTGAAAAAAAACAGATAAGGGAAGTGTTCCGGTTGTGGGCACCTTTTTGTTTTTGCCTCATAACATTTTTCCATGTGCATATTATACAAATATATGTGTACGAATTTAAAGCTAGAGGTCTAAGGTGACTGTCAGTGAAGGAATTAAATTGATTCCTTTAAATAAAAAAGTTTTATTAGAAATTTAGTGAAATGGGAATTTTTTGACAAAAAAAATTTTGTACCCGGTTGTGGGCACCCTTGAAAAATCCGCTAAAAATGGAAAAATATTAAAGGAAACCAACACAAATAAAGAAGAAATGAAAGTTTCTTTATTTTAAGAGAATTTGCCGGGATAAAGAACAAAAATGATGACACGTTTTCACACTATGCTCATCGCTAACAAAAGCATAATGCTTGCATGTGAAGTAGCTAGTACGCATAACATAACGCACTTCGAATGCACTGAACCGTATTGTCAACGAACACGACTTGCAATACTTAGTTCAGTAAAGTCTGCTTGCCGTCGAAGTTTACGTAGGGGTGCCCACAACCGGCGCACTTCCCCTACGTATTTTTTTATTTTTGGAGGCCAAATTTTTTAGTTATGAATTTTCAAAATTTTCGTTTTTTAAATGAAGATATATTTTTAATGTCAGATAACTCAAAAAATATTGCTTCTTTTCATTTTTTGACAAGAGAAAAAAAGTTTTGTTTTTCTCTCTACTTTTGAATAATCATAACAAAATAATTTTTTTTCATTTTTTATTAAAAAAACAAAAAATTTTTATAAACAAATTAATTTTTTTTAACTTTGGGTATGATAAATTTTTTATTTTCTTTTTTTAAAACATAGCTGGAAATGATAAGGTTTTGCAAAAAGTTTCAGAGTGGGCCTGACAAGTTTGATGGGTTCAAGAAAATAATTAAGCTGCCCGTGCAGGTCGCACGCACGCGGCACAATGGGATTTTTTTTATAATTTACTATTAAAAATTGTCTAGAGCCTACAAATTCAATAATAAAGTCAGGGAAAAGTCAGGGGATTTTTAAAAATTCTTTAAAAGTCAGGGAATTTTGATCGAAAAAAACCACAAATTAAAAACCTTTGATACTTAAATGTCAATTCAGTTTTTTATTTAGACATTTTTGTAATATAGCTCATTATAATGTTGCCGTTACATTTTTTTTTGTTTGGACCTTCACTGAAAAACTGTTGGTAGAGCTGTTCGCCCAATGCGGTGAACTGCTGCGTAAAAAGAAACGCACAGCTCACTTTATTTTTGGGCGAGTTACTCTCCTTTTTGGGCGAGCAACTCTCCTTTTTGATAGAGCTGCTGACCTTTTTGTCAAGCAGCCGCTCGCCAACGCCATTGGTAGTCAAGTTTAGGAGAGCAACTCGCCTAATTTTGATAGAGCTGTGAGTTTAAAGTTAAGTAGCGCTGCACAACAGTCAATAGCGGAACTGCTCTACCAACAGTTTTTCAGTGTTCTTACGGACATTTCAATGTAGAATATTAAAAAATTAAAAAATTTGTTAATCAGGGAAAAGTCAGGGAATTTTGAAAATAAAATTTTGCGGCCACCCTGATGTCAGGGAATTTTATAAGCCTTGAAAAAACCTGGAAAAGTCCGGAAATTTTGATCGGAATCCTGGAAAATTATTGTTTTCTAAAGTTATTGTGCTTTTTCTTAAATATTTCAAAATTAATTTAATTTTAAGGTACTACTACACTTTAGAATTTAAAAAATTATTATTTTTTTTATCTCACATGCACAAAAATGGCGCTTTCTGATAGCAGATGACAGGGAGGAAAATCATTCATTTTTATCCCACATGCACAAAAATGGCGCTTTTAGATAGCTGACGACAGGGAGTAAAGTCACTCATTTGTTCGACCATATGAAAATGGCGTCCATTTTCTCCCAAGAGGCAAACATAACAGCTGATCCCATGCGTTATTTTTGCCCATGGGAGAAAACGGCCGCCATTTTCATACAAGTCGAACAAGTGAATGACTTTTACTCCCTGTCGTCTGCTATCTGAAGTCGCCACTTTTGTGCCTTTGGAATAAAAAATATCGTAAGTAACACGAGAATAAAGGCAGCCAATTTATTTACGATGATTTTTGTGACACAATTGGAGGTTATGATTCTAATATAAAAAAAATAAATATTATAAATAAATTAATGACAGCATTTGTTTTCTTTGTTTTTAAATAAAACAATGTTTTAAAGATTATTAAAAATTATTATTATTTACGTCCTAAAAACTAAATTTACTGCGGTAACGGAGGGGAGTTTTTATTGTGTCGATGAACACTGACAAACTAAAGATTCTTTTAAAACTAATTGTTTTCATTTTGTTTCATCATTTTATGCAATAACCATAACTATACTGACACTACAAAGAGTTTTGATGTATTTATTTCTATTTTATCGTTTTTGTTTATATTTTATAATTATATTTGTGAGCGGTAACGGAGGGGAGTTTTATTTCTGCACAAAACTAATTTAATTCTAGGTAAAAATAACTAACAAATATTTTACTTTATTTTTCATGATTGAATTAGAAATAAAATAATAAGTAGATATTACCGGGCAAAAGATTTTTTTGTATTACAGAATTAATATAAATACCTTTTCGATAAATGAAACTTACTTCATGAACGGTAACGGAGGGGAGTTTTTATGCTATATAAACACGTGTATCTTTAAATATTTCAAATTTTCGATTTATTTTTCATAGGATCCGATTAAATCATGATGAATGCTATTATTAGGACGTAAAGATTTTGAAAAATTATTATTATTTATTTTTAAAAATCTAATGTACGTGTCATGTGTCCCGATTGTGAGAATGACCCATCTACTATTTCAATAAAATTTCACAAAAGAATTCAATTATTTAAAAAGAAATATTAAAATTCGTCTCAATAAGAATTCAATTATTTTCAAAAATAATAAAATTCCTCTTATGGTTAAAAGTTAAAAAAAATCTCTCCAAAATTTCAATTATCTTTATAAATAACAAAATTTTTCTCCAAAATTCAATTATTTAAAAAAATTTTAATAAAATTCTTGACAAAATTTCAATAATTTTCAAAAAATTTTCTCAATTCAATCAAATTTTTTTACAGAGATTCAATTATTTTTAATACAATTTTAATCTAATTTCTCGAAAAATGAAATTATTTTTTAAAATTTTATTAAAATTCGTCAAAAGAATTTTAATTACTTATTTAAAAATTTGTTGATAAAATTCTTTATGAGAGTTCAATTTTTAAAAAAATTATTTATTTTTGTCTTTATATAATTATTGAATTCTCGTAAAATTTTCTAATAAAAATTGATTTAAATATGAATTTGAGTTAACATTTTAGATAATAATTGAATGTTAAACTCTCTAAATTTGAATTAGTAAAAATGTTTTCAAATTTGAATTAGTGACTGACTTTTATCTTTTGAATTAGCAAATTTTACTAATAAATTGTCGTTTCTACTAATTTAATAGTAAAAACTAATTCGAAAGCAAAAAGTCGCAGTCACTAATTCCAATTAGTAAATATTTTTATTAATTCAAATTTATAGAGAAAATATGATTTTTTAGAAATAATTGGATTTTGAAAACTTTTCAAATTATAATCTTTGAATGTTTGAAGTTTTTATACATTTAACTGGAAATTGTGTAGATTTAATTGTTTTGAAAAAGTTTAATTGAATTTTTTTTAAGTTATTTAAAGTTTTTATTTTCTAATATAATATATATTTGATTGGAGAACTTATGAATAATCGATGAAATTTTTCAAAAACTGAATTGTAAACAAAAGGATTTGAAAATTTTTAAAGAAATTTTTCAAAAATTATTATTAAAAATAATTAATTTATAGAAGAATTTTAGTTAAAAATTCTGTAAAACAATAAGTGAATAGTAATTAATTTTAATTAATTTTATTGGCAATTTAAAAAAAATTGACCTCAATATCTTTTACAAAAAAAAAAAATTATGCGGTTTCAAAGAAAAAATGTTAAAAAATTTCTAAGTTGCATATCTCCTATGTTTATAAATATTATTCCAAAAAAGTTTCACTATTGCTTCCTCATGAGGAAGCTTTGCATTGGTGACGATTTTCAATTTTTCAAAAGAAGGTTATATGGACTCATTTTCATCTAGAAAATTATTATTATTATTATTCAATTATGAGCAAATGTCCAGATGTGTGTGTGTATGTCACAAAAATTGTATACAAATTATCTCAGACAAATTTTGATGGATTGTCCTGAAATTTTGCAGGTTTATTGCAGTCATTAATACCTAAAATCTGACACAAGGATTTTCGAAAATATCTACAAAATTTTTTTTTATACAATTTTTTTAAAATTCAGAAAAATTTTTTTTTGTATTTTTTGAAATAATTTTTTTATTTGTTAATATTTTTATTAATAATTCTCAAAATTACATTCCTGACAAGAAAACGAATCGATTGATGTATACAAAGTATACATTTTATCAAAATTTATAAAATTAATAAATATTTTTCTTTTTCACAAAAAATTAAAATTTTGTATTTTTTTCATAATTTATTTAATATTAATATTTTGAAATGATTATTCTGTCATAAAAAAGAAGCAATTTGCAAATGGAAGAGTAAATTTCACCAAATATTTATATAACAACTTATAAATGATTTATATAATTTTATTTTTAACAAATCTTCTGGACGATCCCTTTTGTACATAGTTTTTCAAAAGTTTGCAAAACCGCAATTTTTATATATTGAGGAAGTTAAATGGTCATGAAATGAACAACTTGTTTTTTTAGTTGCATTCAAGAGAAAAATAAAGCAGTTTCATAAAAATTCCATACTAGAAGGAAATTTCCATGATCACTTACCATATGGAATTGCTCCATTTTTAAAATCATCAAGCAACCGACTCTCACTGTAAAAACAAAGTCTTCCTTTAAGCCCGAAATTTGTCTTTTTTCAAGGTGTAAACGGAAGTAGACCATGTTGGCTGAATGTCAGTAATGATTAGAAGTTTAAAAAGAATACTCCCCAATTGATACAAGTAAGGTGTTAAATGAACTGAAATTCAACTGTAAGCTAGTAAGAAGGCTAAAATTCAGCCAAACCATCTAGCCAAATTTCAGCCTTCTTACAAGCTTACAGTTGAATTTCAGTTTATTTGACACCTTACTTGTATCAATTGGGGAGTCTTCCGTTTACACCTTGAAAAAAGACAAATTTCGAGCTTAAAGGCGGTGTCAAAGTCGATGCGATTTTTCCATTGAAGCTCAATGCAAAAATCCAATCGACTTTGACACCGCCTTAAAGAAAGACTTTGTTTTTACAGTGTATGTTCATATTCTTGAATTTTATTAAAATAAACATATGTCACATTTAATTTCTTATAACAAACAACAATTATTAAAACTATCAGTGGAAATTTCTCTCTTTAAGATAAAGAATTAAATGCTAATGCACATATATATTAGGTGAAATTAAAATTATAAAATGTTTATAAACTTGTTTATAATCGAATTAAAATATTAACATACTAATAAAACTAAACTTTCTGTCTAAGATTCACCAATTATAAATATAATTTATGGACCTATATATTATTAATAAAACACGAGTCAAAAGTAAACCGACAAACCGGCGACGCGACGCGCTATTCAGACTTTTCACGTTTGCAAATTGCGTCCCTTGTGACGTCACAATCAACTTTTTCAGCCTCGCCAGACTTACAGTCAGCTGTTAGCGTACCTTATTAGAAGTTAATTTCATCTAACTTTTTATTAATACCATTGGATCGGAAATTAAGTCCGGTGTATTACAAATAAATTACAAACTGAGTTTCATTTAAGTAAGAGTACAACTAACTTTAATTTTCAGTTAGTTTTTATGATTAAATAAAGTTGATAGCTTAAGATAAGTCAAAAATTAAAACTAGCCACCATTAAATTTAAGACTTTGTTTTTACTGTGATAGATGATTTTCACCCGTATAACCCTTATGACTGTCTGCTTTTTGAATTTATGAAATTTTATGGTGGAAATTAATGAAAAGCAATTAACTCTGTCACTTTTAGCGCATAAGCTGTTTAATGAAAGCTTATTCTTTTAGGTACAAGATCAGTGGGGATTCAGTTCTTGACAATGTGGCGTGTGCCCGCGCATTTAACACAGATCATCAGACAAAGTTATTGATTGACGCCACAGCAATGATGACGGAATCCAGATATGCATTGCTGATCGTGGACAGTGCCACAGCTCTTTACAGGACAGATTATTCTGGTAGAGGAGAATTATCAGCCAGACAGATGCACCTGGCGAGATTCCTAAGAATGTTGCTGAGACTCGCGGATGAATTTGGAGTTGCAGTGATCATCACGAATCAAGTTGTCGCTCAAGTCGACGGAGCCGCGAGTATGTTCGGCGGTGATCAGAAAAAACCCATAGGCGGTAATATTATGGCCCATGCCAGTACAACTAGATTATATTTGCGAAAAGGACGAGGTGAAACGAGAATATGCAAAATTTATGATTCTCCTTGTTTACCTGAAAGCGAAGCAACCTTCGCTATTAACTCCGATGGAATTGGCGATGCTAAAGAATAGTTTTCAAAACTTGAATTTCTATTCACAATACCAAAACTTTATTAGTCCCACTACAAGTATTCTATTTTTCTTTTCTTACTGAACAAACGTTCTCTGAAATTATTTCAAATTCTAGCAAGTGTACTGCAAAGATATTATTATTTGTATAATTGCTTTTTCTTATTTCTAAAGTACGATTATATAGAGACTATTGTTCTTTAAATATGCTTTATATATTTCCACATTTACAGATAAATAATTATAACAAATTTTTCTTATTGTAAAAATGTTTTGGACCTTTGACGCCGGTACGTCTTTTAACGAGCAACACTTGATGTAAAATCACTCTGACTTAAGAGCAAAAACATTTCTCTATTTTCATAAATTATCTTTCAAATAAAGGTTAACATTGTTTTATAGGAAATCTATACTGTGGACAAATAATAAAAAATTAGAAATATTTTGTACACAAGAAAAAATTTGTATTATTGATATTAATATTGTACAGTTAAATTAAAACACAAATAAAATAGTTTTTTATATTAAACAAAACAAACTGAATACAAATATTATACTTTAAATTGTGTAATAAGTTATAATTTACAGAGTCTCTGAATTTGAATTAGTGAATGTTACTAATGAAATGAAGAAAATTGATTCACAAAGTCCACTAACAATTAGTAGATCTATTTTCTTAAAATTCGATGCAAAACAGTTTGACTGATTCATTTTTTACAGAAAGAGAGATTGTCAAGTAATGAAATTCTACTAAAAAATGAATGAATCTTCACTAACAATTAGTTATATTTCACTAATCCAAAATCGGAAAAAGTCGTCCATAAAAATGATTATATTTACAAGTCGCAATCTATAAAGTTTTATTTGAGTTTTCTATTTGATGTTATTTTTAATTAATTTTTTGTATAGTTTCTACAATACTAGAAAAATCTGTATTAAATTAAATAAGTTGTATGTGAAGTAAATATGCAATACCAGTATTGAAATTTAATGTACATTTTCATTAAGATTAATATACATTTATATTAAATGTAATACAAATTATGTTAAATTTAAGGTAAATGTATATCAGTCTTAATAAAAATTTATATTAAATTGCAATACTCGTATTGCTTCTTTGCTTCATATACAATTTATTAAGTTTAATGCAGTTTTTTCTAACAATGTAAAGTTGCGATCTTGAGATTATAAGAAATTGAGTTTTTAAAAATACTTGAACGATAAATTTTTAGGTTTGAGGGTAAGATTCCGTCAGAAATATCACAATTAAGGCAGATGTATTACTTTTGTCCACTGCTCCAGTCTTGGTCATTTTTATAAAATTTTCATTTAATTATTTATTATAAATAATTTATTAACATAAGAAAAAAACTATACTTAAAACGTATACGATATTAATTTTTGAAAATTGACCTAAATTTAAAACTTATTATAGCTTTTAGAAAAACTGGTGTTGGGGGTTAAAAAGCCAGGGACAAAAATCCATTGAATATTACGTAATATTCATTTTTTGTTTTCTATTCATATTAACCTTCTTATTTTAGGGGAGGTTACCGTTCTCAATGGTGAAAAAGGCATGAGTTGGGGAATTTTTTTTTCATATACGAGAATATTTTTCGAATTGCGGTTTTTTTTTTACTTAAATAGTACATAATTAAATAAACTTTTTATTCCCTCTCCACTGGCGAGAAAACCCATCAGACGGGTGGTCCAGGCAAATGCGAGTATAACTCCTAATTTTCAAGTCGCTCTGTAGGCGCAATTTAGTATTAAGTAATAAAAAAGTTTGTAAACAAAAATTTCTATGGTTGTAAAAACACTTGTATAGCCAAAATTGTAGGCTTAAGATGGCTGTATAAACAAATAAAATAAAAATATAAAGTTTTTACATATTTATATTAAAAAAGAATTTTGAATGGCGGCTGTAGCTTAACGTATTTTTTTACGCCGCACGTTCCACAGCCTCGCCAGGTTATCGGAATCAAAAATTCATGATATATTATTAAACTAGGATAAATTTAGGGGGCCTTATCGTTTTTTCTTTTTTTGAAAAACGTTTTTTAGCAAAATGGCGGATATTTGAAGAAAAAACTCATTTTTTACTTTATGGGTCAAAAAAAATATTAAAAAAATTTTTTTTTGAATAAGCAAAACGATAAGGCCTGCTAAACTTATCCTAGTTTAATAATAATATATCAATAATTTTTTATTGGGATAATCTGGCGAGGCTGTGGAACGTACGGCGCATAAAAAAATACGGCGCCGTTTATAGTTAAGCTACAGCCGCCATTTTTAATTTTTTTTTAATATAAATATGTAAAAAGTTTATATACTTATGTACTATTTAAATAAAAAAACCGCAATTCTAAAAATATTTCTGTATATGAAAAAAAAATTTTTTTCAACTTTCGCACTTTTCACCAATAAGGTAACCTCCCCTTTATAAAATTTCTCGTGTTTACTTAGTAAAATTAATTGAACACGACGAAAAAATAGTTCAAAGTGCAATAAAAAAATAAAAAACGAATAAACGATTGCTACGAAATATTGTATCTCTGGTGAAACTTAAAGAGGACTTTTAGAAAAGGTACGAAAAATTAGTAAACTTAACATAATATTCAATATTTCTTGCTAAAAATTCTGAAAATTTATTAAAATATTTAAAAAATAAGATTATTTTAATTATATAAATAAAGGAAAACTATAAAAACACAAAAATTAATAACATATTTTGCTAAAATCGCGAGGTGGCTTTTTTCCCCCAACTGATGGTGCAAAAAAGCCACTTGCAGTGCGTTAATAAAACTCTTATAACTTAGTCCTTTTATGGGATAAAAAAAATTTGCGTCAAGGATTTTCAAGCTTAATAACTGAAGTTTCAATACCAATTGGAAATTTGAGAAAAAATTTTAAATTCAGATTTTATATCGTCAAATGTAAAAACGTGCACGGAGAGACACACATTTGTAAAAATTACTAAAAATGGTTGCAATGACCGGAAATAAGGGGACTTTTAGCATAATGTACTACAGAATTAGATAAATTTACAAAAGAAATAGATAAATTTGCTACATTGAAATAGCAAGTTTTAATATTTTGTGTAAGAGTTGTAAATGTAGCAAAAATTGATTATAGTTTTCTCTAATTTAATTAGACAAAATCTGACAAATGTAAACATTTTCCACTAAAACCTACTATCCACTGTAGTAATTTTTGGTGAGCAAGTGTGGCTAGCGAGTGCAGTCATATGGCGCCTGCATTTCTATTGGTTGCTAACTTCGTCAATCTCCGTAAATGAGCCGATGCCATCCGATCATTGACAGTGACTATGTTTCGCGTATGTAAAATAAATTTGGATATTATCTACAATAATTAAATATAAAGTGAAACGTAGGTCGCTCGTTATCTCAGAAATTGACCATTATAAATTAATAAATTTTGCATTTATTCATGTCCCAAGAACTATGTCTTATAATAAGTTGTTAAAAGTAAACTGCTTTCTCGTAAGTGCTGTAAATTTTCATCATTCAATATATAAGGAAACAAAGATGTATACTTTCAGTGAAATTCGTTGTCGTGCGTGCAGTTGTGTATTATTGTATTAATTAACCGCGTCTATACATATAAGTGAAATAAACATGTGTGTGTCTTCAAATATTTATCCAACAAATATATAAGTGTGTGTGTGTCTGTGTATGTAAAAATCCTTCCAGTTTACCTCCATTAGTCAAGAATTGACGGGAAACCGGCGACAAAAATCCGTATTTTTTCTTTCACTCTTTCTTTCTGCATTTACAAACGACTATGGTAATTTTACGTACACAATACTTCTGAGTTTACTACAGTTGTTTGGAACTATTGGACGAAATAGTAAGAAACTTTGCTAATTTGGTAAACATTTGTCGGATTAATGAATTAGTGTAGAAAATAGTAAAAAATACAAAAAGTCCCCTTATTTCCGGTGGTTGCAATGTGAAAATAGTAAATTCTAGTGTGATTTTATACAAAAGTTAGTAATCTCGGTCTCTCCGTGTGGCTTTTTTACACACTCTACTCTAATTCAACTTAAATACAAATAATTACAATAAATATTAACTAATGACCAAAACTGGTGCTTCTATAACTATATAATTGTAAAACACACATTATATAACTATAATTTGGAGGAATTGTTACACGGATAATGTGGTACAACAGAATACTATTCATGGTGAGTGAATTTAATCTATTTTAATTTGAACCTATTTGTAGTATTTTTCATGCTATGATTTAAAATTTTTCATGACTTGCAAAAACTCTGTGTAGGTAAATTCAATTTTGTTTTTAAATTTATAATTAAAATTTGCAGAATCCAGAACCCTTAAGGGCGAAAATTATTAGTTCACTACAGTCTATCATAAATATTTCTCGTAAGCATATACAAAACTGTAGTTTGCACACTAAAAAAGTAATCTTTACTTTAGCGGTCCCTTGATAAGTGGGAATCCTCTTTAAGTGGAACTTTCTTTGCAGTCCCTGCACAAGTAATTTGACCTTAAATGACCTGGATAAGTGGAATACCTCTATAAGTGGAACAAGAACTTTGGTCCCTTGAGGTTCCACTTATCCAGGTTCGACTGTATAAGGTATCAAAAGTAATAGTCTTCACTTAAGAGGATTTTCCTCTCACATATTATTTGACTATTATAGTTATGAACTGGTAAAAAAAACTATTCTGATGCAATAAATTAAATGTTTTTAATAAGTTAATACACTACCGTCGGGAATTATCGGTACGGCTACACTCCCACGGGCCAAAAATATACCAATCTTTAAATCACGATTTTTTGTAAATACAAATGTCAGAAAATTAATGAATATACCAATCGAAAGCTTATAAAATTCTACGATAAATGATACATAACTGAAAATTTAAATATTTTATACAAAGATTTCAGCAATCGACAAATTTGACAAAAAAATAAAATTTTTTTGGAAACTTATGGAACTCTGCACATTTGTTAAAAATGGCAGAAAAGATTTGAAACTTATGTATGTGATCATTCAAGTTTCATCTTTAATTTAAGATCAAAAGAATTCAAAAATCTTATTCGGTTCGCGAGATATCATTATAAATGTTCGAGCATGATTTTTGACAAATGCATTAAATTAGTCGATTTTGAACAGTTTCTGGCTGAAAATGTTCAGACATTTATAATGATATCTCGCGAACTCTTTTGGTCTTAAATTAAAGATGAGACTTGAATGATCACACTTATGTAAGTTTCAAATCTTTTCTGCAATTTTGAAAAAATGTGCATGAGTTCCAAAAGTTTCCAAAAAAATTTTATTTTTTTGTCAAATTTGTCGATTGCTGAAATCTTTGTATAAATTATTAAAATTTTCAGTTGCATATCATTAATCGTAGAATTTAATAATCTTTCGAATGGTATATTTGTTAATTTTCTGATATTTGTATTT